GGGGGAGGGGGGAAATACAAAGTTCGCAAAGGGTTCTTTTTTCTTTCTTTTTCACCTCTTCTTTCCTTTTGTCTTGCAACGGCTTCAAGGGACGGACTGAGGGGCCAGCACCCATCCTTCTCGGATGGGAGCCGAGCTGATGCGATACGATGGCGCATCCCTTAGGTGTACCATGTAGCTGCGTAGAGCGAGGCAGGACGGGCGAGTTAGCACGACACGAAGCAGCACCGCGCAATCTCCGCCACGGTCTGGCAAAAGTCGAGCGAGCGAGCACTCACGCTCGGGTCCTTGACCATTCAGGGCAAATCTTCCGACTTCGGATCTCTTGTGTGCGATGGGATCGTGCAGCGTATGGGTTCTCAAGTCTCTGAAAGCGACGTCGAATCCGTACTTGCCCGAAACGGCTCGTGCGCCCATGTACTCGTACACCTTGCTAGTGATTTCCAATCCCAGATCCGCAATGACCACTTTGGCAGCGGCTACTTGAATGGCCAGATGAGATCTCTGTTCTGCCGTCACTTTTTGACGAGGAGAGGTGTGCAAAAGAGCAGAAGCTTCGCGAACCACGTTGGAGAATTGCGCTTCGGAAGCCCAGAGCCTGGCTTGAAGCGTTCCGTAGCCTTCTTGGATGTACACTTCGTCCGTGCCGCGCGCTGCGGGCGTTGGGGTGTAGGGCCAGCCGCGAGTGTTGACCTTGGTGTACTCTAGCCCACGTTTGAGTGCTCCTTGAGCAATACCGAGGTAGAAGGCTGTAAAGACGAGCTTTGTAAAGGTGCAGACAGACGCTCAAAAGTTGTAAGCCACCGGGCGTAAATCCAACGTTGGGCATTTTGTTGCAATACGCAAAATCAGACCAAAAAGTCGCGCGTCGATGCTCACCTGGATAGCGGGCAAGTTGAGCGTGTTGTACGCTCCAAGAGCTTCAAACTTTCCATCCACAAATCCCAAAGCATCTTTTGCGGCGACGCGAACTTTCGAAATGCTGATCCCGCCGCTCTGCGTACCCCTCATACCCAGCGTGTCCACCCACTCGTCGCCGTACTTGATGCCGTCCTGCTTTGAGAGCACAGGAGCAAACACGTGAGGAGCGTCTGCGCTCTCTCCTGCGAACGTTCCCTCTAGGATGCTGCCAGTGGTGAGTCATAGAGCAACGTGGGGTCAGGCGATCGCTGAAGCTCAGAAGACACAAGACGCTTTGAAAGGGGACCGAGTGTGTTG